GGCTGGTTGAGAGATTGGAGAAGAGCTATTAAGTCAAGTGTGAGTGAGAGATGGGAAAAGATTAGTGTTGCAGTGGTTGCACAATGGGTAGTGACAGTGAAAGCTTGAAGGAAATCATACATGAGGATTGAGGAGCAAAAACAAAGTTACAATGCAAAGCCGCAGAGGAGATTGGAGAGGAGGAATCACAAATCTGAAATTGAAATCTATGGATAGTCCTTCTAGGGTTACCAATGCAAATTGGGCTAGGCAATTAGGTTTAAGAAAACTAAATTGACAAAAGGAATGGGCTGGACTTGATAATTGGGTTTGGAAAAATTGAAAAAAGAATGAGTTGTGAAATTTATGTTGTATTGGTATTGGATTAGTTAACTATGTTGGGTAAGTAAAAATTAATTGTTAATATATTTACAAAAATATATATAAATAAATTTATTTTTTTATTTTATATGGATTCCCATGGAGTGAAGAGAATTTCCCGTGAAATTTCACAGAGAAAAAAATACCTTCATCCCTGTCTTATGAAAAAGAATATTCTTGAAATTTCCATCCCTATGGTAGGAATTTTTGCGAAGCTCTGCGGGTCGTGGAGAGAATTGCCATCCCTATTCTTATGCAAATTAGGGTACAATTTTGGGTGTATTTATTTGGACTGTAACTCGTGCTTGAGGTGTGATTTGTGATTGAATACAATGATATCAGCAGGATTGCTTCATTTGAGAATAATATATATATATATATATATATAAACTAATAGAATTTTTTTTTTAAAATAAAAATATCTTAATATTAATTATGTGATTGCTCCATCCCATATATATATATATGCCGTTCGGCTAAGGGTCATTGGAATTATGGGGACCCCGCAATTTGATTGCTTAAACGAAGTCAACTCAATTTGATTTTTTTGATGATTCCAGTCAAATTGATTAGTGGAGCAGGTAATAACTAAAATAATCATAATTGGAGAGTTTGTATAGAGTTAAGACTATTTTTTTTTTATTTTCCTTGCCCAGCTTGAGATTGGGAACTAGTATTAATTAATTCGATTAATTATGATTATAAGCTATAAATATTGTTTGAGTTGATTAGTTCAATATATAAGGGTACATATATTAACACTGTAATACCTTAAGAGCATGTTTAGAACACAAGATTGGATTAGATTAGATATAGTTTATAAGATCGGATTAGATTGGATTAGATAAGATATATTGTATTAAATCTAATGCAATGTTTGGTTAATCATTAGATTAAAATAAGATTAGACATACAAATTTATTTGTATAAATAAAAATACCCATACATTATAATTAAACTTAATAAAATTTTATTTTAATTTTTTGGGAATTAATCATAGTAACATCTACCAGTGAAATTAATTGTGATAATTATCATTAATTACTTTTATCAAGAAATTATAATTAATTATTGATTAATTACACATAATTATAACAAAATCATATTTAATTATCATCAACATTTTTCATTCCTTTCACGCAATCCAACAAGGCAACAAGTCAAACTGCAAATTGGCGTGGATGATTGATTTGATCAAGAAGAGAAATCGGAGAACCACCTGAAAGTGCTTGACCACTCCGTCGCTGAATTCTTGTGATTGATTTGGTTGATGTCTTCAGATTAAATAGAAATCGAGGAAAGAAGGGGGAAGA